TTTTAAACTTCTTTTTATTTCTTAAAATCCAAATTCACTGAATACACCTCTCACTTTAAAAAGCTCTCAAACCATCAATATATCTTTAAATCATATGAAATCAACTCTCAAAAATCTTCTCATAAGTTTGCTCTCAAATTTTGTTCCTTGACCAATCAAAGAATCTTGGAGTTGCCATAAGTGCATGGTTTTGAACCTCGAGGTTTGATTCCAACCTTGGTTCACAATCAATCCTCTCTAGGTATCAATTCTTGATATTTTGAGGTAATTTTTGCTAAAACATATTTTTAATTTCTTTTTAAATATGCCTATATTAATTATTTATCTCATTCACTTTTATTTGGCTCATTTTATGCTTCTATAAAGTAAATGTTTATAATTTATATTTTTAAGATAATTTTCTAAAATATTTTCATTTAAGCTTATCTATAATAAAATGTTTCTTTTTTTCTTTCACCTAATAGCCATGTTACTACATGACAACATTGCCAATCTTCCTCAAATAGTGGTTGCTTTTCCTTCAACAATTGTGCAACTTATTGAAATCAAATTCAAACATCTCAATATAATTTCTTTTCTTTGCATAATCAAGTATATATCAAATATTGCATGCTTGCTTGCTTGCATTGTTTTCAATCATTTAGGTACTAAATTCTCCATCCAAATTTGGTAATCATGTACTAAATTTTATAGTATGATTTTTTTATTTGTTGATTTATTTTGTTTTTAAAAGAAAGTATATATGATGTATCAATACCAACATGGCAATGCATTATGAACCGCAAGAAGAGTTTTATAGACTTATAGTATCAAAGTTCTTTAAATTGATATTTGGCTCTTAACTTCAAGTAGTCATATAATTATTCTATAATATTTTCATTCTACATTTTTTACATCTTTTGCCATGTTGTATTGCAATTGAAATTAAATTCCAATGAATTTTGGACTAAGAACATTATATACAAATAATTTGATTATATAGAATATGATTAGTAAAGAGACAATATTGTATAAATGTAAAGCAAATTTTTGAAATAAGATGGATTAAATGGCCAAGTATTAGCATACATGATGAAAGAGGGCATGCTTTATTAACAAAGGCATTAGCTTTGAAGGTTGGTTTTGTGCATCTATATACATGAATATTTGAAGTAAAATTTCTTTGTAATATGAACCTTGTATTAGAAATAGCTTTAAATAGAAATAATTATGAGCATAGAATGTATAGAGTGGTGAATGCAATAAAAAAGTGGTATAGTGATAGATATTAAAGCTACAAAATACAAACAAAGCTTTGGAGTAGTTGACAAAGTCAAAAGAGGCAAGATTAATAGAATCAAAGAAAAAAAATCCAAGATTAATACCAATATTAGTTCATCCAAAATATTAAGTTTAAGATTGTTATGTCGTACTATTTATTTTATCATTTTGAAACATATTTTAGTAATAAGATATAAGAAAAATGCCAGATATTTCAGTAATTATATGAATGTATGAATTTGTGACATTGCCTTGGTGTTTTAAAAAATAAAATATTAATATACTTTGCAAGGGTGTTAAATCATGAGTAATAAAAAGCATTATTAAACACAAAGAGATTCTTCAAAGTGGAAGAATTGTCCATATGGAAACCACCAATTTTTCACAAAATCCATGTGATGATAGAGTGAATTAGAATAATTTAAAAATCTCTAATTTACTTTTGTGCACAAATAGAGTTGTGACACCTAACCTTGAAATATCACACTCACCATGATGCTCTATATCCTACTCACAAAAGAATAAACAATGTTGGTTTGTTATTAAATTATTATATTATTTATTAATGTATTATAATTTATTTTTATTTTTTTGAATAATTTAAAATTTATTTTTATGTAATATAATGATAATAATAATAATATATTTAATAAAAAAAATTAATACTACCTGATTTTTTTTATGAATTGTAAGAATTCTTTTTAAAAAAAAAAGTATTATGTACATTGAATGCTCTTGTATATGACAACAAAAAAATTATTTAAAGTAAGAATAATTATATTTGAGAATCAATTACAATCTAACGGGTTACAATGGTGGAGCTAGTTGATTGAATAGCAAGATTTTTGTGACATGTAGTGACAAGGTATTCTACCTATCAACTTGTTTGTCTTAAATCTAAAATAGTTCTATAGCTATGAAGGCTCCTATATGAGAAGAATCCACGCCCTTCCTATATTTGCCATTTTTTTCTAAATCAAAGTTCCATAGAACACCACTTTGGCTCACACTACTTTTAAGAAGTGTCATCTTCGGCATATCCATAAATAAAGAAGTAAATTATGCAAGTAGCATTGTAGAATGCAAATAGATACTAAATGATGAAAATTCAAAGAAGTTGGAATATGAGGGAGAAAAGAAGTAATCATTGTTCTATAAAAAATAGGATTCAAATAGCAATGTTATAATAAAAAAAACTAAGTCTTGTTGTAGCTAAATTCTTTGATATGTGCTTGGTTAAAAATTGTATCACTTGATGGCATTATTTGGCTTCCATGCGTGTTCTTTGTTGCACTCTTTGTATAAATTTTTCATGTTTCTATTGCAACTCTAACTTACTTTGCTACTTTTGTAATTCAAGCTGCGTAGGCTTCTTGTGCTTGCAAAGCCTTTATGCATTGTGACATTTCTTTTTCAGTGGTGGATATTTTTTTTTGGATATTGTTCCTATGATTTGTCAATTGATCTTCAAGAAGGAGCTCAACCACAATTTGGATCAATCTATTGTTTATTAAAAAATAAGTTGGCTAAAGTCAAGAAATATATTTATGGAACCTTGTTAAGAATTTCATCCATTATTTAAAATTTCTAATAGGAGCTCCAATCTTGTTTGTGAAGAAAATAAATAGATCATTGTGGATGTATGTGGATTATTAAAGATTTAATAAGATTACCATTAAAAATATATTTTTTCTATTTTTGATATCTAGACTTTTTGATCAATTGAATCAAATAAAGATCTATACAAAAATAGATCTATGAGAAGCATATAATTTAGTATGCATCAAAGATAGAGATGGATAGAAGATTGTATTTTAAATTAGGTATGAAAATTTTAAATATAATGTCATATTTTTTAGACTCATAAATGCTTTTGTAGCTTTTTGACATCTAATAAATGATTTCTTCAAGAATTTTTATATGATTTTATTGTTGGTTATTTAAAAAACATCTTAATCTATTCTAAAAATATAAAAGATCATGAACTCCATATTTGTTGTATATTATCAAAACTAAGAAATATAGGATTCTATACCAAGATAGAAAAGTATATATTTTATAATACTTGAGTCAAATTCTTAGAATAAATCATTTCAAATGATGAATTTATGATAGATCTTAAGAAATTTCAAACTATTATAGATTAGAAGATCTCAAAATAGTAAGAAAAATTCAATGTTTTTTGAGATTTGCCAATTACTATTAAATCTTTAATAAGATTTTTTTTCAAGTTATAGCTCCATTTATATGTTTGATTTGTAAAGACAAACTTGAACAGAATTAAGATGCAAAAGTAGAATTTGAAGCTTTGAAGATAATTCTTGTTTCTACACCAATTTTATATTGCATCAACTTTTTTAAACCATTCTTTATGGAAAAAGTTCCATCAAACTTTGCTTTGAATGTTATATTATTATAAATAGAAGCAAATGACAAACTTCACCTAATAGCTTTTTATTCAAGAAATGTTTTAAGTAGCCAAGATTAACTACAAAATTCATAATAAAAGACTTTTTGCAATTGTAGAATCATTTTAAGAATAACATCATTATTTAAAAGGTACTTCCAATCTAGTTACTATGTTTATTGATTATAAGAATCTTGAGTATTTTATGTCTGCACATGTTTTAAATTGTTGTTAAGCTTATTGGACCATGTCTTTGCCAAAATTTGAATTTAAGATCACTTATTGACCAAAAAAGAAACAAGATTTATTACATGTTTTTTTTAAACATGAATAAGAACTTTTGATTCAAATTTTCTTAAGCAAGTTTAATCAAACATGTCCTTTGATCATCTTCTTTATTTTTAAATTAAAATACAAGATCTTGAATTATTTCTATCTCCACTTCTTGATTATTATCCACTTTTGTACAAAGCAATTGCATTTTTCTTTTCTTTTCTTTTCTTTTTTCAAAATATTCTAGTATAATCATAATTGTTCAAGTATTGGCATGGTTATAGAAGTTTGTAACCTCAATGACAACAAGAATATAAGATTTAATGAAAGTTTGATACTAAGATTTAAAATTCAATAAAATCGAACTTTGTATCAAGCCTAGAAGATGCTCTTAAATCTAGTCTTTAAAAATTATTAGGACATGACTTTAGTTGCAAGACCTTGAAGATTCACAAATTGTAGATATCCTCCTAAATTCTTTAACATATTGTATTTGTTATTATAGTCTCATTAATGAGTTTATAAATGAAAAGAAATTCCAAATTGCATAAGTGGATGAGAAGAACCTTCTCTTTGAATTGCAAGATTTTATAAATTATATATCTTGTGCAAACTGCAACTACTACACAGTTATTAATATTGTAAATTACAAAATATGTTTTCGATTTTACAAAGATGATAAACACAAAAACAATTGGCTACTTTTTGAAGCTTTTGAACTCAACTAAGCATAACTAAATTAATTCCATTTGTTCTTTGGGACAGGATAACTAAAAATAATCTCATATTTACATAATTCACTCACAAACTACTGCTCTCACAATATGTGAAGTCAAAACAAAATATCATCTACAATTTACATGTAACAAAAATGGTATGCCAAAGCTATGCAATCCATGACGCTAACACTTTCTGGACTTTGTTGCAATAACACAGCAGGGCTTAATCCTGCCAACATCATACCACCACAGCAACAACTAAACTCGTCACCGACTCTCCGTGTATATTATTTTGCCGGATCGATCCAGTTTGATTCGGAAACCAAACAACAGAAAAAAAATAAAAAATAAAAAATAATAAGACCAAGATTGTGGGAAGCCATCAGTAGGAGACTGCTGCCAAACACAACCTGTGTCGTTGATGAATTACCAATTGAAATTTTGTACACAACTGAGTTCCTATTCATTAGCCATTGCAGACAACTGTGCTTCCCCTTGAGCTGCTCAAAGCTGTGCAACAAAAACAAAGAGAAAACACCAGCTGTGCTTGCGCTCAAAACAACAACAGCCGCATCTCCCCGCCCATCGATGAGCAGCTACCCTCTACCAGACTTCATTCCGCCTGCCCAGCCACTGCAAAACCACCACACAACAACGAACGAAAACTCCCGATTATCATGTGTATAATAAAAATCAAAACTAGCAGGTGCAGCTTCCCTATGCATCCACCATTCGCATCAGGGACTGGAACTTGCAGGTCCTTCTAATCAAAGCGCACCAAGTCAAACACAGATCGCTCCACATGAGCCTGCTTCGGCAAGTGCCTCCAGGAACGCTCGAGAGAACATTACACGCCGAACCGCTCTCAAGCTAAGTGGCCTCTTCTGTTGAGCTAATCTACGATCCAGTACGAACGTCATAGCCTTCAAAAACTCAGCATCCCCTCTCGACGCAGGCAATCAGACACCCGAAACAACAGTAGGAATTGATACTGCACTTAGCATATCACTGACATTGCTAACCACACCCACTCACGAAAAAAAACCAATGTCCAGATAATTACCAGCTATTGGCCAACATCTTCGACAGCCAGCGTCGCCATCCGAGCCACAGCCAATCGGTCAGCCAGTTGAGGACATCACTCGGCAATCGCGCTCTCGCTTGCTCATTCGTATCATCGCCACAAGATTTACCAGAGGGAATGATTCTACTAGCGTGCTGTGTCGCACACATGTATATTAACTTTCAGTATCTAATGGTTGGAAAATACAGAAGAAAAAAAAAAAAAAAAAAAATTATTAAATTAAGGTCTCAACCTTCACGAGCATAGCCAGCTCGTCTCCTACAACCTAAAGCTCTACTTCCTGCATTTCCTCTCCAGTTAGAGAATCGACCGACTGACTTCCTCTAAATTGTTGTCCCATCATTTGTCTATTGGGATCCCTATTTTCACCACCTGCACTTGGAACACCTAAAGGATGTGGAAGAGGCAACGAAGCATTCGCCCCGCTACCGTTGAGTAGATAAAAGTTACCATACCCAGATTGACCCACTGACATGGGCGACACATGAGGCATTTGTTCCGACCGAGTCAGCCTGTCGTGACCACTAAAGCTAGCTCCAAACGCATCTTCCTCTCCAGGAGTATGCGGATTCTGGAAAGAGCTTGGGTACCCACCCCATGACGACGATCTTGTGTGGGCACCTCCAAACACAGGAGGTCCCCCGTGAAAACTCAAATCGGCACTTTCTGCCTTCAAAGATGCAAGCCCGTTGTCTGCGCTTGACACCTGAGGACTCGTGGAATATGTCGTAGGAGGGTAGCCTAGGCCTGTGTCCATATTCGCATTCGAGCTCGCAGTGTCCGACAATAGACCCTGGCTGGTGCCTGCATCGCCGTTTCTTGAAGACCTGCCCACAACGCTCTCGCCCACATCACTGTTGTTATCAGTGAACGAACTCGAAGGGGCAGGACCTGGAACAAACATATTGGCGGGCGTGGACATCATACCCGCCCCTGGCATTAGAGGTGGCATCAGAGATCCCATCACCGATTTCGCGGGAGTTGTTGAACCCCCCTTGTTGAAAGTGTCCACATACCTGTACACAAAAAACACATGTTAAGAATCGCTGCGGATTACAAGATACAGCATGCTGCGCTGCATCGCCAGTTCTTGCAGAAAATAACACGCACAATAGTGGGCATCAGGATCCCCAAATCTACAAATATGCCACCATGAAACTATAATGCAGAAAGCGAGTGTCGTGTATGTGTGCATACACACACATACATACCTGGACCGAACGCCGCCAGCTTGCCGACGATTCGAATAGTGATTGCCGCTAGTAGGTGCCAAGGGCGGCGTCCCCGGTTTCGAAGTTACAGCTTGGGGCGGTGCATGAGTTTCTTCTTGAGGGGGAGCGGATCCCATGAAGCTGGAAGTCGTGGGTGGGGGCGGAAGCGGTGCAACATCCGGAGTAGGATCCACTCCTTCTTCCACCCACTTCTTCAGTTTCTCATCATAGTAAAATTTGTTAGCATCTCCCAGCTTCGCCTGTAAAACACGACCACGCGTTCTTCTTTTACATTACCGAACAATCACACTTAGAACCACAGGCAATGAGGCCCTCAAATATCCATATACCCATACGGCTTTGCCTCCCGCAAGCTCAAACAGGGTAAATTCGTACCCAGTCTTATCGCAGGCTAGTCATTAACAACTAATTAAATTACGGAGCCCATATCCATCTAACATAGATAACACAGAACAAGGCTTGCCTCCCCACCTCTCTCTTGTTCGAACCCCACAGCCCAGTCGCCCTCTGCAGGAAACTGCTACCCAACCGACCAAGTCCAGCCAGACGTAATCCACTTGCTCTCGGAGATACTCCGGAATTCCCGTCTGTCTCTCCCTGAACACATTTTCAAACACGTTACATCCGTCAGCACGTTATACTGCACAGCCACACAATATGCGATCCTTGGAGAGCACTTCTCCAACACAGAATGGCAAATCGACGACAAGACGTGGGCCTGTTGGTGGTCCATTCCTTTTCGTATCCAGTAGTTGTACCGGACCTAATACTTCGCAACCTACGTGCGCCGCTACGACCTACTCTTCCGCACAACCCTAAGGCTGCTGGCCTTGCTCACACACCCACCATGTGGCATGTTGGGCTGGTGTTTATGTTGTTACAACTCCCGTCCCTAAAGCGTTAGATCCGATCCGATACGACGTACTTCCTATCTCTGACACTTGTTGAGCGTGTTATTTCAACAAAAAAATTGATGCATCCGCGTTCCCGTTTACCGCTTCAGCACCACACAATAATGCGTTATCGAAATATTTCAAAACGCAAGTGCCTCGCACATATGAAAATGACGGCAGTCCAACATTGAACTTCTTCGCGCTCGGAATCTTAAACAAGTGCAGTAATATTCCGTAACGCGACGATTTAGAGAAGACCCACACATCTTCCAATGTTGTTATTAAGGCACGGACCCAATTAAACTTGTCACGTTCCTGTTAACATTTCATGTACTAAACGTAACAGACCAGAATCATCTCAACTATGGTCCAGAAACACATGCAACCACAACCCACAGACTGCAATCTCTAGGATTCAGATAATGTACAACTGCATGCCTATTCTGGCGCCGTTGCACATTCTGCGTAACCTCCAAACCGGAGGGGCGGGGGTGTGGGTTTACTCGACCAAATTTCACCTCTAAGCTTCACGTCTGAACTCTTTTTGTAATCAACTCGAGTGCTAAATCGGCTGCACCAGTAGAAAATTCACCGAATCTTACGAAATGCTCCAAAGTACAAACCCTTTTTATTTCTCAAAAAACTCAAAAGCCTCCTGCGAACAAGTACCTGCTTGGCATTCCTGCCAAAGTCTGGCTCGGACTGGCTGCGAGCTGGACCGCGATTCGGTTCCTGAGGCAGCCGCTCCATGGAGGCCGCGATAGATGCTGATGGCACCATTTGCGCGCCTGACCGCTGCCCTCCACCGCCGCTGGAACGTAAGCTCTGCCCCCCATGATGATCCCCATTGTCTAACGGTCTGTACCCAAACGAATCCGTTGCTGGAGCAGTTGGAGGAGGGCCTCCAATCAACTTGGAAATCCCCCAATCCATGGTGCCCTTAATTTTATTCACCAACTTTCCACGTGCCAACATCGATCCATGACCATCCTGCACGCACAAATATCCCAACGCGTTCAGTGTCTCCATCTCGTCGTACTATTGCCTCGCAAACCGTGTTCGTTGTACGGCATTCCCTTCGGAATAAAAGCATTCACCACTCCATTAACCTCCCCTATGATGTAAAATGCCACGCTCCAGCAGATGAAATGTAAAATGTCTCCTGTCCAAAAGACCCGTGGAACTAGCCCTCAAAATCAGGAGCCCGCACAATCCTCAGACTGCTAGAGGTTTGGCATGCCCCATTTGTCATCAACCGCTTGAACGACGCAGAAACTTTGCGGTCCTGGAAATGCAGGGAGATAACACAACTCCTCCGAACTGCACCATCTCTCCTAAGCACGTGCAGTACGCACATCAACAAAGCAGATGACACAAGTGCCCAGAACCTGATTCAACATACCTGCAAATGCACTCGGAGCCTCTCTTCCATATTTGTCGCAAGTACTTTACATGCTTCCACCTCCGGACTCCGCATTCCTGCTGACTTCAACGTCCTCAACACTGTTTGACAGTATCTGTAGATCCAACCACGCCATACAGTGAGAATCCTCACAAACTCTAACTATTCAGCTGCTGCTCTACTGCTGCAGCGTTTCAACGACTCACGCATACGAACATACATCGGACAAATTTGAATGCCACAATCCTCAAGCACGTGTCATCCTCAAAGACATCAGTCAAGCACGCAACTGCACACCACATCCACAACATCCCCACAGCTCTATCCATCCCCTCCAGCTCTTGCTGTGCAAGGTTCTGCTGTTGACAGACTTGGCAGACAAAAGCCCAACTGTACGATACACCGTAACGCAGGATAGCAACTCATCAAACCGCCACATACTTGAGTGAGTCCCCAGCCTTCCCACATTCAACCAGCATTTCAGCATAAACAAGCTTGTACGGTTGAAACGATATCAAAACGCTTTGGGGATTCCCCAATACTTTCGCGTGTTCATAAATCTCTGTCCTCTGTCCAACAGAAAACACGCAGTCAGAAAAAACTCACTCACACAAACCCACGACCTCTCCAACTAGTACGCACACAGAACGGTCGGAGTGCCGGACGATTCACGAGGAAAGCGCCAAATAACATGAAAACTACCTCAACAGTACCACGCGACGACACTAAACATCTCCGTGAACATTATTGTTCATATTAAAAGACCTCAATTCGATGTATATCCACATCATAAAGACACAACGCAAAGCACGCAGACCAGGCTACTCGATTCCCAGAAACAAGAATGCTCGCCTGAATAGCCTCTGCGGTAACAAACGTTCGCGGATTCTTGCAATGATCAGCACCAATCAGGCACAACCTTGCATTTCCAGAGTACGACTCCAAATTTGCATCCGCAATCAAATAACACACATGTGCAGCTGCTACCTGCAATACCAAACCAACCATCGCATTACGACCAAGCAGTCCTTGTTCGATCCCACTTACTCCATGCATCATCCAAGCATTAAAAAAAAAAAAAAAACAAAAACAAAATAAAAAACAAAATAAAAAACGCCTACCTCCCCACGAACACCCCACAGTCGGTCCCCGAGATGTAACATCACACGCTCATCCCCTTGCGTGCGATTAGCGGCCATAATGGCAATATTCTCTTGCCAATCGTCCAGCATAGCTCCTTGTCCGACCTACATTGGTCAACAACCACAATCAGACACCATCGTCCGCCAAAGGAATACACTAACGGGCATTGAAGTCCGTTCCTGACTATCGCGCAAAGAACCAACCTGCCACCCCCCACCATTCAAGACGAGGAACAACCTCTCCGGAGGAGTGAAACCAACACCTTCTCCAGAGAGCTTCAAATCCGAGACCGAATGCTGCTAGGTAAACCTACAAAAGCTACGAAAACCAATTGACATCTCCATATCCATGAATGAATAAACACCTCACTCTGTTCGCTGGCAGCTACTACTCCACCCATCGGATTTCCTGATTGCGGGCTGGGCGCTGCAAACACCTCCGCAGGCTGACCGGCAAGAAGAAGGCTCAGTGTGCGTAGAGGGGACCCGGATACAAACTGCCGTCGAGCCATCTCTGTCACGGTGTCACAGAAGAACTGCATTACAACATGCCATCCGTCAACACAAATACATGTCCATCACGCATCTCACTCACGTTATCAAAACACTGCAACAACAATCATGTACCTATCACAAGTCACTCGCACTCACAACCAGGACTACGTACGGTGTCGCCTCCCAACCGATCACGACGCAGACCCATCGTAAAACTCCTCACACCAGCACATATCAACTTTGACATCTACCTTTTCGCCCAGCTGTCGAGCAATGACCAGGGCAATGCCCCACAGCTCGCCTTCCTGTGCACACTTCAAAGCATCCTTTCGCTTTCCACACACCAGAAACTTCTTCACCTCCACTGCTGTGGCCTTCGCATCGCCACCAAGACAACGGCCACTTGGTTAGAGCATGCCGACGGAAGACCCATAATACAAAAAACTTGAGCCGCCAACACTAAAACCACACAACCCCTGAAACCCCACAGCAAATGTAACACCACGGCATGGCCGCTGCTCACAGCTCGCAATTCGTGGCTAACGAGACTACAACATGTACCAGACGATGCAGCACGCCCTCACAGCCACAAAACACATACCTGCAACTGCTGCTCCGAGGGCACTCCGCGCAATCCAAGGTTCCTATTAACCATCCCTGCATATGGACTTTGCTCACCTCCAGCACCTGCCAACAACTTTGCCAGTGCTGCTTCTGGCCCGTCTTCTTCCTGCATTCCCCAAACACACCAAACTTAAGCGAGTGCTGCGTTTGAAACGTCCCCTCCAGACGATGGATCAGAAATGACTTCAGGCGTGACGATCAGTACGTATCCAGCTCGAAATCCGAGTCCCAAAACTTTAAAACAGCCTTTGCGCAACTCGTACCACATCATACATACCCTCGTGCTTCTTACTTCCAATTACATACACACTTCCTATTCGGCCCTCGTGGATAACCCACTGCTACCGTCCTTGCCCAAGAATGAACACATTCAGAACTCTTGATCACTCACGCCACAGGATCACCCAACGCCACTTGACTTAGACCATCCCAAACGCAACAAGGTAACTGCATATCCCCAGCTAAGTCAGCTCGTATGACCACACACGGCATGGCATCGTAACCCACCACTGCAGAGTTCGCGGAATTCACGCCAGAAGACCGCAACTTCCCATAATGCTGGCATGCCACCTTCAGCACTCCCAGCAGAAGCCGCGAAGAATCGTATTGTGATTGAGTAGCCATCCGTTCGTCAATCCACTTGATCAGTTCTTTGGGGCTAGCTCCACCGCCCAGAAGTGGACCTGCAAAAGTCGGTTCCTGAGGAAGGTGGCCCTTCAGGCTCGACAGTTGGATAGGACCCGGCATCCAGGCCTCGCCACTAGCAAAAGCCTGCTCCACCCACAATGCCCATCACGGACGTTAAAAACCCCAGACCCACCAGATATCATACCAGTTTGCCGATCCCAGACTCCCGAATGATCAACCCCACCACCACAGGCACGCAACCGATGAACTCTTTACCACAAACATATGTGCAACCCCTACGGACTCCCTACCGACGACTCCAACGGTGACAAGCCTTGCATCCAAGTCCCCCCGCTAGCGACGTCTCTTCGGACGAAACCCTAACTCTTCTCCTGCTTCTTCCATGGAGACAGCTCTCAAAATCATCACTCATCCTGCATGTCTTTACTCATGTCAACCTGCTCTGAGACAATTCCACGCTGTTTCTGAAGTTCTAGGCTGCCTGCTGACGACTGCACTACTCAATCCGGAAATGACAAGCTGCTAGCACGTCACCAGCAATAACTGCTCAAAATTCCTCCCGTGCCCATGCCATACCTGATCACCGTTACTAGTGTGAAGTGTCACAGGGTCCCTGTGCTTCATGAAAATAAACCTCCCTCCAAATCCAAATGCTGAAACTGAGATAGGCGGTCGTCCTACACAAGTCCTCATCGCCTCTTGGACGTTCTTGGGAGGAGAAGCCGTAGGATTCGTGTATTGCTGCTGATACTGCCCGAAAGGAGAGGGATTGTTCCAAGGCTGCTGCGCGTAGCCGCTGTGTCCGCCATCTGCACCATAATTGTACGAAGACGCGTATGGAACCGATGGCAAACTCTGGCTAACGAACTGCTCCGGCTGGCTGAAGGCAGGTGCTCCCCAACCCTGCTCTCCATTCATCTGCGGAGAATAGAAGCTCGACGCCCCACCTCCTGCCGCACTGTTGTGTGCTAGATCACCCTCCCACTGTCTCGTCTCCTTCGCATACACCGGCCCAGTGCTCACTGGATTCGCACTTTGCGATGCGTGCCCATTGCCCATAACGTTTGCACCATCGTTTCCATACCCTGAAAACCCCTGGGCCTGCTGCTGCTCGTTAGAAGCTACCGGCTTCTCACTGTAAGTTTGGGACAGCTGCTCGGGTTGTCCATACCAGGATTGCTGCCCAATGTGATCCTGAGATTGAGTAGTCGAACTACTCGTCCAAGCCTCGTTATAATCCGGTACTTGAACCCACGCCTGCGCGACGTAGTCCCATTTCCACCCCGGATACTCGTCTGCCACTGTTTGGGTTGCGGCAGACTGCGTGCCCCAAGATTGAGACTGCCCCAAATCCACCTCGCCTGCCACGGTTCCATCCTCCGGCACGGGAGTCTGGCTTTCCTCCGGCTGAAAAACATTTGCCTCCGGAATACCCTGCAAGTGATGATGTTCTACATAGCCTCCGTCATAACCTGCATACTCTGTAACAGCTGCAACTGCGCCGTAGCCCTCAACCTGCCGCCACTCGCACGCTTGATAGTCGTAATACCATCCTGGATAGGGATCCTCGATGCCAGCATCCGCCACCGCAGCTTGCCCTTCCTCCGCTGGAAGCTCCGACCACGTTTGCACTTCCTGCCCAATTCCAAAATCCTGCTCCGCTGGCGCTTGCGGTGGTGCGACCTCTTCATGTGTCGTTGTTGCACCAGTCTCCGGTGGCCGCTCATCAATTTCGGGCAATGCCTCCTCAACTACTGCTACGGCGGGCGGCTCGGGCTGAGACGTCTTGAAGCCCATTCCTCCCTCAGCCAAGAGTTCGGATCCCATGCCTCCCCATTCGAAAAAATCGACATCCGACGCCATTTCCACCGGACCGGAACTTTGAGGTGGCAAATCCGGCTGGTTTGCAAGAAAGTCTGAGAACGACCCGAACGACTGCTGCTCCCCGAACGTATGCGCACACACTGCATTGAAATCACTCCAACTCTTTATTTGCGCCGGCGGGCGAGAGCCCTCCGACGCATCTGCTGCTCCATCCACTTCTGGCACCGGCTCAATTGCCGCCGCACCTTCCACTCCAATTCTTGCAGCCTCTTCTCCCGTCAAGTGCCCATTGCTGTCCGCCGCTCCGGGCTCCACCGCACCCTCTGATTCTCCTTCCTTTTCCTTCACCTGTTCGTCCAAATCAAGCTTCTCGCACAGCCCAAGCAGGGCCTCCACTGAGTCTTCTGCCATGGATCCGTCTCCTACTTCCACCAGCATCCGTCTCCCCCCGAACGCCTCTTCAAACCGTCTTCGTCCACGGCGCCCACGGGCTTCCGCTTCCCGAACCCAGTCCAGCTGCCACCCTCATCCACCTCAACCTAACCACAACGACATCCACAACCAGGCACCCCCCCTTCCTCCCCGTCTACGCCCAAACCCTACTCCTCTCCTCCCATCATTGCGTTACTCCTGCATGAAAGCCACTACACTAACCTAGTATTCTGTGACAGTGTCTGCCGTAGAAACTCACCAAACTCAGATCTATGCAACAAAACGGTCAGAAGAAAACCCCCAATGGTTTGTTAATCCAGAGAGGAGACCTTCCTTAGCTTGCTACTCACTCGCTTGCTTAGATCTTTGATAGAGCTGTATCCCAGAGAGAATAATCCACGGGTTCGAGCACTCGCTCGGTGCTGCCTCTCATTCAAAATCTCAATCCGAGTGTTTATATTGTTCCCAATAATGTTATGCTAAGCTTAGCATGTCCGTTTGGGTTGCCGCCACTGCACGCGCCAACATGAGTGCACTGTGGCCATTGCCAGCCACGACTACTCTCCACAGATCCAGCACGCATACGAAACCCAATACACTCGTGATTCCGACTAATGCAAGCCTAGTCTCTCGACCCTCAACCCTCCACCCCGCGCACGCCGTCGTCGTCGTCTTTGTCACGAACAACCAGCCAAAATTATCGACAGAATCATACCCGAGAGGATCGTCACCAAGCTGGGGGGGTATTGGTGATCGGCGATGGTGTCATTTGTGAGTGCGGGATGGTGCTTGCTTGACCTAATCGCAGAGAGAGATTAAAGGGAGCGCAGCATCGAAATCATCATTGCATTCTCCTTTCATCCAGGGAAAAGATGAAGTGTGTGTATTCCTCCGAAAACCATTTCCTCGAAACATATGCACTATGCCAGCAAAATGCGCAGTAGATTATTACTTTCGTGATGTAGATACACGTATACGTATCTCGTATTCTCTGGAAAGTATAAAGTGAATGCGGTAACCGAGGTTATTGGATGTGATCACCGTGTCGCGTGTAGATGGTTACCGTGGTAAGTGGATGAGTCACCGTGGACTGCCCATTATGTGAAGCATTGATAGTGGATGTTGTCGCCGTGGAAAGTTGATGCGGTGACCGTAGCATGAGTAGGTGGTTGCCGTGGTGTGAGGGGTATTCACCGCGGCCTTAGGTGCTCGGCGACGTGGAGAATTGACTTAGAGCTCGAAGCCCTCGAAGCGAATTCTTCAGGTTGGGAGTTATACTCTGCTTTTTTGTATTAATTTGGGTAAGCGTGAAATATATTCTGCCATATCATGAAAGGAAAACAAAGTTAGTGCGTAGTTCTAAGGTTTTTGTGCATGGTTGTGACTTGTAAACCATGTTCCTCTACTTTTCTATATCCCGTTGCACAATTTAAGTTTTTTTAATGTGGTGTTTATTTTCCATGTTTCAGGATTTGTTTATATATATATATATATATATATATACATACATGTAGGGAGTATTGAATAGATCCATGATTTTACTAAATAGACCCACTCTTGATGAAGAATATGGTAATCATGATGAATGTGGTTGGCTTTTATTGGCCGCAAATCCAATAATTGGGAAATGAATCTAAAAATCATTATTTTTTTTTTTCATGATGGTTAAGATGGATGGGTTGATTTTGTAAAAACTTGGGTCTATTTAACATTCTCATATATATATATATATATATATATTGAAGTTGTGTAAGAAGGTCATTGGGTGTGTTTATTAGGATTGATGATTGATAATTGATAATTAGCAGAAAATTATGATTACTACTATGTGTGATTTTTTTTTTTAATTATTCTTATTTTTATTTAAGCAAACAATTGTCTGTCATCTATGTTGATGTGCTAACAATCCAAACATGATTTATGTTTCACAACATAATACAAAAGGTTTTTTACGAAAAATAAAAAATAAAAAATTTGAACTCAAAAGTTTTTGGTGTGAAGTGTCTTTTGTGTAGAAATAAACTGTAATTTCTAAAAATTATATTGACATAATTTAATTTATCAAATACCATACTTTCTAGGTTTGAGGTTTAATAGTATCCAATTCAAGTTAGCATTCACAATTTGGATTAATCCATCAACAAATTAATATATAATCAAGTGACAATTTTAAATTAACTTGCAAATAATTACTTTGTGTATTGAGCAAAGTATATGTGTTTGTATTTTTGTATGTATGTATATACTTCTTTGTTTTTTATTTTATTTTTTGTTTGTGATTTAATAAAATAGGTAACCCTGTCCTTTATTTGACTCCAATCAGTAAAATAAAGAAAAATAGTTTATTTTTCACACACGATTATCTAAAAACTATTTCTAATTATGTGCAGAAAATTATATTATAATAATTTAAATTTAGGAATTTAATTTTTAATTATGGCACAAAAAATCTTTTTTAAATATTTGAAAAAATATTTGCTGCAAAAAAAAAAAAAAAAAAAAAAAAAGAAGAAAAAAAAAGAAACGGTTTATGGTTCATTGGTAAGATCTTTAATTGTTTGTGTATAATACCATGTTGATTATTTTAAAAGTAGAATATTTTAAAATACGAATTTTTATTATTGGCACAATTTCATTTTTGTTTATAAGATATGATTTGAATATTTTAAAATATTTTAGAGGACTTTTCTATTCCATTTCCAGATTTAATTTGATGAAATACCATTTTTTTTTCTTTGTTGTTATTGAAAATTATCATAAATTTTATTTTAGATGATATAAAAATGGTTGTAAATTATAGTATTTTGAAGATATTGGTAAATGGTATTTTTGATATATAAGTTGATTTAAAATTTAATTATTCAATAAATAGTAGAAAAAGAGATTGCATACTCATGTTGGTACATTATTATTGCAATTTTGTATGATCTTTTGTTCAAAAGGGTCTTCTAAGTAAGGTTTTAACAAACACCAATGTTGACAATTGACATATATTTCTCAATTTTTACAATTGTACTGACTAAAAGAATATCTTTGGTGGTTGGATAAGTTTATATAATCATTGAACAAGATTTTTATTTTATTTGTGTAAGTTTTAAATAGAAATAAAGATGTAATTAAATTTAATGTCATGTATATGTATATAAATATATATATATATATATATATATATATATATATATATAATTGATTATACTATAACATACTTGAATAAAAATGAAGATTAAATATCATTAAATAAAAAAGACAAAAGAAAAGTTTTAGTACTATCTTTTTAAGGAAAATAGTTTCGAGAAGTTTACTACAAACATATTTATTTTGAGTTTTTTTAAAAACTATAATTTTCTTTTGGATTACAATTCCTTGCTATTATTTATTTATTTATATGTTTATTTTTTTTTCTATTGTTCAATTATTTATTATAAAATTATAAACTTATTTATTTATTTATTTATTCACATCCCATGGCAATTGGATTTCAAAAAAGCATAACAAAAATCAATGCAACTAAATAAAGTTTTATTTTATTATATGCTAATAACAATAATTTTAATGTATTTTTAAAATTATTTTTACAATTCTAATAAGAAATTCTTTCTTAAATTTAATACATACATAAATAATATATTTTAAAAATAAAATTATTATTTTGAGATGTTTTATTTCTAAAAAAATTATGTATAAAAAAATTCAAGACTATCAAATAGAAAGAGCAGTATAAAAAAAATACCTATTAGAATTTTTTTATAATAAAAAAATAAAAAAATAAAAAATGAGATGGTTGTTGTATTGATCTTATGAAAGTTAATTACTAATTTTTTTAAATAATGGAATAGATTTTGATTCTTTTTTTAAATGATTAAACAATAGTTTGAGGTGTAGTTTTAATTTTGAATCTTTCAAAAAATCTAAAATATTGTTGTATATATAGATGAATGTTTCAAATAATTATTAGCAAAATTTTTAACTAAAAGACATTCAAATATCATATTTTTATTTATATTAAAAGATATATATTTTTTTATGATTCATTTAATATAAATTTCACTTATTCTTTACTTTTTAAAGTTTGAAGATTAAAATTAATGTTTAGGTTGAATTTGGCATTTATGATTTTTGAAAAAATCTAAAAATAACTTATAAAATTACAGTTTAAAATTAGAATTTATGCTATTTATTAAGCCATAATTAAAGAATATTTGTTTTATGAATTATTGCAACCATTAGAAGTGCATCTACTTTGAAGTTAGTTAGAAGTAAACAAGCATTGTTTTCTAAGATGGTCAACAACTACATAAATATGATTAAAGTTTTCTTAATTCAATAATTCAGCCATTGAAATATGTGTGCTTATAAATTTTAAATTTTAACATAAATAAAAAGTGGTTGTAATAAAATTTCAACTTTAATATTTTAACATCTTAATATATATTTTTTTACAAAATAAATATGATTTAATACATATAAACCAAATTCTATAGTTATTTTGGCCAAATATATATATATATATATAATTCAAAAAAATAAAATATCATATTAATTTATTGATTCTAGCTATAGATAAAGAAGAATTCTTTAAATATAAAATTATTTTAAAACTACCATGAGATATAATATTCAATTTATCTTCATAAATTAGAAATCCATCTTATCAAGTTTATTTGGAACCTTCTTGTGTTTTAAAGTATACTCTCTCTCTTTCTCTCTCTCTTTCTATATATATATATATATATATATATATATTCAAAGAAAATATAAATTTTATTAATTTTTGTAAAAAAATATATTATATAATTGTATGTGGATTTTAAAGCATTAGCTACTATGTTTTTAATAAATAATCTATAGTTTTCAATCTTAAATTTATAAATATTCTACATTTATTTATTTACGTATTTAATATTTTTAGATTTATATGCAATAAGTTCTTCTGTTAGTAATAATATTGCTCCAATTGCATGTATAAAATTAATAATAAGTATTTTGATACAATACCAAATTCTATAATATAAAATATTAGAATATAAGACAAAAAATATTTTAACTTATTAAAAGAATTCCAGCTTTATAGATTCTATTTAGAAATATGTTTTTTAAAAATATTGGTTATCAGGACAGCTACATAAACAAAGTGATACATATAATATAAAAATATATTGCAAGATTAAATAACATTTCAAAATTCACAAATATTTTTTGGAACTATTCAATTAAAAGTACTTGATTTTATTTACAATTTAAATTTTTAGACCATTTAGAATGTGGTCCAAGAAAGAAACAAAAGTCTAAAACATTTGGCATTTGTTGAATGTTTCAAACAACTACTAGTTAAAAAGAAATTGAAATACTTATTATGAAAGTTGTAAGGGTTTTTTTATACTATGATTACAAATAATAATATTATCAAGTTAGACCAAAACTTTCTTCTAGTTCAACCTTATAATCAAAATTATATAGGTGATGAGAGATATTGGCACATTTATAATTCTAAAAAGAATAGTAAAAAACTTATAGTATCTATGTCTATTACAACATGTTCTTCAATAAGCATCATTGACATGTATTTTAATATGGTAGTAACCAAACTATCAAAATATCTTATTAAATACTTTAATACCATGTATATAGTTTAGATTATCATGAGTTCTTTACAAATTATTTATATTTTAAAATTTAAATTTCCCTATTATTTAATAGTTAATTTTAAAATGAACTATTAAATCTATAAAAATAAAATAAAATAAAATAAAATTTTCTTCGTAAAAAATAATACTTATTCTTTAAATGGTAATATTAAAATACTTGTTTTTCTTTTTGTAGCTATTTTTTATTATTTTGTAAGCTTTTCAAAACTAAATCTCTAATTAATATTTTTCAAATATTAAATATCAGATATTATTTATTTTATTTTTATATTAGGAAAATATTATTTTAGATCTATATATTTTAATATTATTTAAATTTATTACAGTAAAGAATAATAAGTTTTTAAACATTTTTTCTACCATTCTTTTTTAGACATGATTTATTAATAATTTATTTTTAAAAATAATTAATAATTATTTTATTTATTTGATAAAAATATTTCTTACAAAAAACCAATCTATTTGTAATTTAATATTATATTATTATAATAAAGCTATTATTATTACCAAATAATTAAGAAACATACCAATTTTAGTTGGTAAAGTGTATATATAAGATTTATAATGTTTGAAGCTACTAATTATAATCTATACACTTAATTCTTTAATTTAGGTAGTTAAGATTTTAACTTTTGATACATCTTTTTTTCAAATAATATCTTAGATGGCATTATATCTAATAGAAATTATAATATTTTTTAAACCTTCTATAAATTTAGATACTTTTAAATATACAATTCCAATCATTTCAAAAAATGAAACATAATTTTCAGCATATAATTGTAAATACTATATTTTTTTTTGGTAAGATTCTTTTAGTAGAAACTTGTAAGAATATTTTTGGTCACCTTTTTTAAATTATAGTTTATAATATCAATCTTATAGTTTATTAAATACCTGGTTCTTTACTAGTTCTTCTAGTATTATTGTTTTAGCTCTACAAAATTATTATTTTTATTTTTATATTTATATATTAATTTTATTCAGTAAAATTATAAAATTTCTGAAAAATAATTTAGGTGTTAACACTATTCTTTTGGTTTTTCTATCCACCAATTTGGTGCATAGGTTTTGAAGTAATAACATATAACATTATGTTTTTCTTTTTTTCTTTGTTTCTCTTATTGTTGTTATGATATCATATTTCTTTAAAAAAAATATCCATAATTTGACAAATTTCATCTCAAATTTCTAATTATTTTTAAGGCTTATTTTTATTCTAATTATTATTTCCAATCATCTTGTAATTGACATATCTATATTTTGGAGGACTAGAAATCTTTATTTTTATAATAAAAAAAAAATCTTGAAGATTAAGTTTCATTACCTTATCATTTTGTAAATGTGTTCTTATAGATTTTCTGATTTATTTTCTAATTACTCTATTATTTTTTATTAGAGGAGGTCATAGTAATTATTTTTTAGGATAACTACCATGTTTATTTATCTTATTTTTTATTTGTATCAAAAAAATAAAATAAACATAGTAGTTATCCTAAAAGGTTTATTTACATGAGTAGATTTTTAAAAAAGTTTTTCTTTTTCTTATTTTTTCTTTTTTTAATTCTATATAAAAATTTATATTTTTACTTTTTATTTATTTAATATTTAATAATATTATAAGTATTATTATTATATTTTATGAAATTTTATTGAAAAAAATATAAAAAGATAGAAAAATATATTATTTTTTCGATACTATTTGTAATGTGACCTTCTTAGTCTATTTATTTATAATACTTGTGTGTAGACATCTTATTGTTCTATTAATCTATTTTTTTATCCTTCATAAAATATTCTAATTTAGAATTATATATATATATATATATCACTTTATCATCTCAATTTTTTTTTTTTCATTCTTAAAAAATTTGGATACTTGAGGTACTATTCTACAAGTAGAGCTGATCATTTTAATTTGATCTATTATTGTATTTTTGGCTAAATCATAGATATTTTATTAAATTTTTTTAGACATATTTGGTATGGAGATAAAGCCTCTGTGCAACATCGTAACATACAAATTTTAATACTTTAAAACGAATCAATTATAAATAAATAAAACCATCAATAGTATTTTAAGAAATTATTTGTATCCTTAAAAAGTGCAGGTTTGGTTTAATAGAATTATAGGTTGTATTGTTATTCATATATTTTTAAATCATATTATATTCTTTTTTGATTTATGGTTCATGAGATTTCTATTTTTAATACTTAGTGTTTATTACAGTTGATTTGTTTCTTGTAGTGTTTTGTTTAAGAAATACCATAAGCAAATTTTTCAGTTTAAATCATATGATTCTAAAAAAAATCAATTTTACAACTAATAATCTTAAAAAATATTTTTAATAATCATGATAAATTATTTATTTTATAATATTTAATTTTTCATATTTGGTATCTATATATATATATATATATATATATATATATATATATGTTTTTTCTTATTATTTTAACATAAGTTTGGAAGAAATATCTTTCTTGTTCCAATCCTAAGATGATGCATCTTTAAATTATAAGCTAATAATTATAAAAATGAAAAGAGTATTTGTAGCTAGAATAACTTTGTAAAGATAATAGGAAGTCAAAACCTAAAAATATTAGATTAAATTAAGCTTTTTGTTTTTTTAACTTGAAATGATTATTTAAAGAACAGTTTTTTTATTAGTTTTTGAAAAATTATAAACTTTATGGAAATATAATTTTAGGCACTTTGAGTTCTTAAATGTGAGATAAATTTTACGTTTTACCTATATATTTTTATATAAGTAAGAAATAAAGAATTTCATCACAGTTTGTGTTAGAGGATGGAATAGTTGGCCAGATTATAGAAAGAAACAAAAAAATTTAATAAAATAAAATAAAATAAAATAAAATATTTGGTGTTCTATGTGTATTATTGGTGTTCTAATTTGAAGCTGGCCATTAAATAATATAAGACCATGGAATTGAATTACATTGATTGGTTCATTTAATACAATCCAAATCTTTTGTAAAAACAGAAAGATCCAATCGTAATCCACTCTAGTTTGATACTCTAACTATGTGTGTTTGAGTTAACATCTTCACAAGATAGTCTAAAAACTTTCTCTCTTTTTCCAATGAAAGTCACTAGTGATATACTTGTTTAGAATGCCTTTTCTACCCAACTGAAATGTTTTTCCAACAATATTCAAACAATCTTGTTGCATGGAAATGTATCCACATGGACAACAATTTGGATACTGAAGATACAGGGGCATATTATCATCCACAGCAAAGCAAATGGGAGCAGAGCTAGTGATTATTTCCAAGCTCATCTGCTAGAGTGTAATGCAGTTTATAATGCTAAAATTGAAGACGAAAACCATCTGCTAGAGTGCAACACAGATTGTGTTCATGTTGAAGAAGACAATCATCTGATACACAGTGCAATGCGGACAGATCATGTTCAGATTGAAGAAGAATGTCACAGTGTATTTCAGGTAAATGTGAGTTAGTTTCCAACGTGGTCGAAAAGCACGCATAGCTTGAAGACTTGTCAGTGCGAATTTTCGTCGTGGAGGTGCGAAGAAATGGACTGGAAAAGTGGGGCTATAATACTAGAGACGCCGCGAGAACCACAGCAGCGGAAGTCGTGGTGGTGGAACTGTTTGTTCAGTGCCAAGGCTAGACAAAGAACACCACATGGGTCAGAGATCAATCAGTATCGACAGTGTGGACCTCACCGATGTCAGAAAAAACATGGTGTTACGAGTGTGGGTGGTTGCTGCTCGTTTTTTTTGCTCTTCGCCTAATTAAATCTCAGGAAGCTAGTGACACTGCACATGAAACAGACTTCTACAGTCTGCGGAACCTTGAACTACTGTCGTAGACATTTTCTCTGGTCACGTGGGGGTGTAGCAAGGATGACTTGTCGACGGAAGTGGCCCTGCTCAAATGGAGCCTCGATATTCTCTATTTTTTATTTACTTGTTTTTCTGTCCTTTTGTGAGTAGGCTGTGTGTGTGAGTCGATTGGGCGGGATGTCCGGGTGCTATCCATGTTGATGGAGAACCCTCTAATATGAGAAAATTCTTTTCTTGGGTAGAACAATATTCTCAGAAAACATAAGAACAAACGTGGAAGAAAAAAACACAAAGGCTTGTTCCCAGTAGCTTCCATCATCAATCTGCTGCATAGGTCATGCTTGACGTAATCTCTCCAGAAATGGTGTTAAATTGATCGTAACCAGTTTACAAACGTGCCCTATACTCTCAGCATTAGATACTAGTGTTAAGTCACGGCGCTTGCAACAATTTTGCAGCAATTTTTTGTGACGTCAAATGTCAAGACAAGATGGGGGAAGAGGAATTCCACACACAGAAGGTCAGGAGCAGTCACTGCCAATGAAGGCAGATGAAGCTCAAGCCTGATAGAGCATGTAGCTTAATGATTTGAGAGTAAAGTCGCAGTTAGGAAATGCCAGGGAAGAATCCAGCAGCAAGTTAGAGCCTTGAGGATATACAACGTTGCAGCCGTAATGCTGTGCAGTGTTCAGCTACTGTAGATTCTAAATGTAAAGCCTCCTGATTCTCGTAAAAATACATAAAGTAAATAAATAAAACAAACAAGCAAACAAGTCTTCTCAAGGCTTCAGGTATACGTTTGCTCGATCCAGGAAAAACAAGCAAACGACTTGGTAGCTCTCCAAAGCTGTGAAGTGGGGTGACCTGTACTCCCTGCACAAAAGTGATGGATATCCAATCTAACGGGACTCATCGCAAGTAAGAATAATGTACAGAACTGTTCTCCAATATAGTTTCAAATGCATCACACAACACCTCCTTCACCCTAATGTTTGAGGCCAGAGCATCCTTATGGGATGAGTTTACTGACAAGCAGTGGAGGCATGTGTGTGCCATGAAAGCAAAACTGATTCTCTAAACATATCTGCGCTGTGCCACGATTGGGTGTTCTTGCAAAGCGGACCGGCTTAACCTTTGAGCATTCGTGACAAAACTTAGCATTGCACAACTGTGCATGTTGCACCATTCTTCACGTAAGGTAGGTCAGGTCCTCGGGACCACTCCAGTGTACACGTATCATAAATTAAAACTAAGCCCTCCTTATATCCACGCCCGTTGCGGCCGCTTCTTCTCAACAAATCGTCTATAGATCCTCCAACCTGAACAAAAATGGCCACATCACACTTACGAAACATCACTCCAGCCATTTTTATTTTTTTTGATACCTTCTTTAAGCTAAACCAGCTTTTACGGGATTCAAATGAAAAAGCCACTACAGCACGACATAACTACAGAGCATTGCATTCCGAACTTACATGTCCAGTTGCACACAACAATTGGCTCACCTGTATAATGTAAACATCACTCCCCATCGTTACACACGAGAATTTCAAGCAGTTGTCGATTCGAAGAGGGGATGGTATTGGAGGGGGTTTCACGCGGGTGAATGACTCGTCCCAAGTGTCATACTTCCAGAAAGACAATTCAACAGCGTGGCTTGTGAGCATGTAGATAGCCCGTCCTACAACCGTACAAGCAATAACGCAGCCATCCATCGGAAGGACCTTAGTCTTTTGCCAGCAGTTCAGGTTTGTATCGAAGGCATCCATGGATGCTACATAAATATAAGGCTGCATGGAAGACCAGAGCGTGCTGCTGAATTTGAGTCCTCCAATCACATAAAAAACACCATTCACTGCTGCTCCCAAGCCTCCATACCTCCTACAATAACGGATTCGCATCTATCAAAAATCGAATTTCAAGCTCAATAGATGTCCAGTCTGGACTCAGCGAAGTAGAACCCTACATATCGACTTCTAGAACACAGTTGACAAATGACGGTATTGACAGCTGAACCTGAAACAATCCATCGAAAGCGACTGCTGCTGTGGGTACCCATGCAGAAATGCATTTTGTGTTCTTTCTCTTTCTCTTTTAATTTTACGATGCATCAATCCGACTCATATTCTGTGATAATTACTTAGTGCCTTGTCTTACTTGCGAGGCATACTTGCAATAGGCTTCCACGCATCCAGCTCAGGAATGTACATTTCAGAGTCGGTAATGGCATCTCGCCCAGAATCATTGCGATTAGCGCCCCCAGCAACGAAGATGCGGTCTGCAATAACACAACAAGCAAATTTCTTTCTAGGACAGTGCATTGGTGCTCCACGCCTGAGGGTCTTGGTCCAGGCGTCGTAAACAATGGTACACTCTATCCCCACTGACTTAGAAAACCGACATGGGTTAGCTCCCAAGATGAATATTCGATGCTTGATCACTGCAGGCTGTGCATGTAGAAGGGCGTGATTCTCGTTGTGATAACCGCTCAGCCAATCATTTTCCGCTATCGATCTCCCAGAGCACAACAAACCTGCTCTCCAACTACCACTCGACTTGCAATACACAGCTGACAAAAATCCAGTCCCTGCTCCTCCGAATACGAAGAGCAGATTCTCCACTCTCCCGTTTTGTTTTCTCATTTCATAAAACTCGGTCGATTTCAAAATGGATCGCCATTTTTGGCACACCATCATGGCTGTCTGCAACGCGGCCCTCGGCATTCGTGCTAAGCAATCAAGCAAGACGTCATCCGGGAGCGCAGAGATTGAAAACTGCGGCAAATTGGGTTGCGGGTCAGGCTTCTTTTCCACAGGTGATCGATAAGACCAACAGCCCTGCACAAGGTTGCGTAATCCAGACCTAGAGGATGATTTCTTCTTCAGCCCCGGGAGCCGTTTAGACACGGCAGCGGTGGTTGCGTCCATAGCTACTTCGAAGAAAATACCATTCCCCCCTTGTTACATTTGCAGTATAAAGAAAGACTCCCAATTCCACAGCTGTAACAATCTGCGGTGGAGCTCGCCATTAACTTTCAGAACTTGTGACACATGAAACCACATTCTCAAGGACGTGTCCTTCTCACACATGTCCAATCCCACCCCATACTTCATATAAACAGATATTTGTCTGCCACTTCAACAGCAACAAAGCACCTCACTTTCATAAATTGGTCGACGTCACTGATCCTGATAATATTCGTAAAGAGGAATCATGTCTGTCTTCTTGCTGGGTATCAAAGAAGCGATAAACACATGAACTTTTGGTGGGAAGTCCCGCGGAGCTAGTGAGTCCTCAGCCCCTGGTTGTGGCTTCCGCTGCAACGGCAATTGAGCCAACTTCTGGCAGGCTCTTCTCTCCAAGCACCAATTCCATCTTATGGCAACCTAAACTTAGCAGCCATAACTCCAGAGCTTCAATATGCAGGCCATACCGACAATATCCGCTTCTGCATAGCGCTTATGCGTGAACCATCCCCACTCTGTTTCGACAAGCACCCAGCCACACGGAACTAAGAACTCCCAAGATCCCGTTAAAATGTCAGCGTTCTTCCACGACTGCCGACATGCGTTGATTCCCGAGCTGCAGAAAGCGGTTCCGACCCGAGCCCGTCCGTGCAAGCATCACCCAGAACTCAGAAATTCCGTCATTCCAGACCCACCATGAAAGTACGAGGACAATCCAATCAAGTTCTTCGCCCAATTGCAGTCGCAACAATCGGCAGATTTCACGCGGTGACGATTCTCACTATAACTAATGCCCATCCACCTCACTTCCGACTCATTCGAGTCACACTCTCCACCTCGTGCACTTTGCATCTCTCATCCTTACAACAGCTCTCGCTCCCCAATTCTCCAGACAACCTTCCCCCTCAACCTCTCCCTCTCTCTCTCTCGCTCTCTCGCTCTCTCTCTTCCCCACAATTGCCATTTGCTTCCACCCCAACAGCCATCACAAACCCACAACCGTCCTTGGTCCGACTCCAATGCGCCAGCTCTCTCTTAACTCACTGAAACTCCATCAAATTTCCATAACAAGTCAAATCGGCATCAGTCTTTTTCCACAACCTCCGTCACATCCCCACCACCCTTGATACGAAACACACACATACACAAAAATACAAAAACAGAAACTCAAGCTCGCAACCCTGAAGGAGTGGTTCTAAACCCCAAAGTATCTATCTAGGCTCCTCCTCCTCCTGCACGGTTCACTCGCTCGCAAACCTCCTCCTTCATGACTTCACGACGTTGCTCTCCATGACCAGTCCTTGCGACATCGTACTCCAACCACCGTGGTCATCGCCATCAGCATCATCATCATCATCCTCAAATCACGCACAAAACTCGGCAATCCCTCTCCATGCACACACCATCATCACATCACTACTCTCTCTCTCTCTCTCTCTCTCGCACTCATCCCCTTTTCCTCAAAACACACAGTCAGTCAGTCACACACACAGAATTGCAACAAGTAATCAGCTCCGTCTGGAATCATCTGTTTTTCTTCTTCCCCATGTTGGTATGAGAATCTCCACCTTCTTCTTCTTCCTCTTCTTCCTCTTCTGCTGCTTCTTCCTCTTCGCACACTGTGTGTGTGTGTGTGAGTGAGTGAGTGTGTGCATCGTCGACGCTGGACATGCACCGGAGCTCACAGTTTGCTCATGATCATCCGGGATGATTCCTTCTTATGGCGATGTTGAGAAAGATCCAGTCTGTCTGTCTGTGTTTATTATCATCTTCTTGACATTCTGGTATCTATCAACCTTTATTTATTTATCAATCTATCTAACTATCTATCTATATTTGTATATATGTGTGTGTGTATCTGTTCGTAAGTAATATATGTTCACAAGTGCGGAGAGGTTTAATGAAGGCTAAATAACTTCGACTGTTTCAGTGTTGTGTACATAATATACCCATAAATTAGCACTTCCCCCCCTTTTACTCTCTTTTATTTTTTATATGTACTATTTCATGTTTATGTATTTCATGTTTACCCTTCCTAATATTATATATATATATATATATATTTAGAACCTCGTGCCTTATTGTTTTTGAATTCAATACAGGGAGATAGAATCTGGCTCCCCATCCTGATATAATCCTGCTCCTCGGGAATGGAGGTGGATTTGGATGGATGCTTTTTGGATGTGATCGGAGAGGAATAGAACAACTCGATGGCTGTCACTCCAACTATTCTCTGTGTAAAATTTATATTTTAAAAAATAAATAAATAAACGAATAAAATAAATTGGGTCCATCGTCAATGTAGTCTTTTGCCTCGTTGCATTTTGATACATAAAGTCTACACCTTACTATTTTGAAATCAAAGATTGGAGCATTATTATTATTTATATACATATAAAAAAAAATAGTGATTTATAAACAATTGACCAATATATTTTAATATTAATTTTTTATTATATGTATATATATATATATATATATTTATATCGCCAAGAAGATATGGATGAGTAATTTTTTTTGTACCCAAGAATAATAAGATGTATATATGTATATTTATTGTTCATTATAAATCCTTAAAAATATTTACCTGTTAGGGACATAGTCCATAGAACTTTCTAGAGATAAGTTTCTGGAACCTTCTAAAAGCTTCCTAGTTGATGGAAGTTGCTTGAAAAGTTTCCTAGTTCGTAGAAGTTGCTTGAGAAGCTTCCTAGTTGATGGAAGTTGCTTGAGAAGCTTTCTAGTTGATGGAAGTTGCTTGAGAAGCTTTCTAGTTGATGGAAGTTGCTTGAAAAGCTTCCTAATTGATGGAAGTTGTTTGAGAAGCTTCCTAAATAGGAGTATAAATTGGAATCGAGGCTGAAGAGTTCTTCAGTCTCGACAACACATCTCTTGGAGCTCTAGCTCACCTCTTTGGTGTTGTTCTTGTATTTATCTGATTAATCTAGTTCTTGCCACTTCTTCTTAAACTTCTTGTTAGATCTCGAGTCTGTATTTCTGTGTCCGTGACAATTTGTCGAGACTCCACTCACCTCAGATATCAGAGTTAGTTTCTTCCTCGTTAGAGTGCGGATTACCCCTCTGCTTGGAAGTGTATTAGCATTTTAGAGGCTGCAGATTACCCTCCTCTAAACCAATACTTCTTTTGTTACAATATTGGAGTCTTATTCTTCTTGGAGAGAGTGGATTACCCCTTTTCTTGAAGCTCTTAAGGCATTTTAGAGGTTGCGGAGTACCCTCCTCTAAACCAATATTGTCTTCTTGTAGAGTCATTTTTGTCCTTATCTTAGAATGACCGGAGGCCAAGACATTAGTATGACAAAAAGTTTGGAGTCCAAGTTGGATGCTATCATGAATGCCCTCGCTATGTTATCACAAAGAACTGTAGAGATTGAAGGAGTCATGGCAAGGCTTCATAATGATGGAGCATCTGGGATGGCACAATCTAGATTGCACCAGCCTCAAACTTCTATACTTGGAGAAGCAACTTTGCCTCAAGTTCGACAAGCACCGTTGGTTCTACAACATAAGGAGCCCCGAGTTAGCCTTCCGGACAAGTTCGATGGTACGCGTTCCAAGTTTCGAGGATTCGTCAATTAAATTAGGTTGATAACAGTTTTACAGCCCAAACGCTATCCAACGGAGGAGTCACGTGTTGGGCTTGTTAGAACCTTACTTATAGGGTAAGCTCTATCATGGTTTGCTCCTTTATTTGAGAAACGGCTGTCCATATTAAACAACTTTGAAACCTTTTTGGAGGCGTTTGCAGAAGCATTTCGTGAACACGACAAGGTTCGATGGGCTACAGCAAAGATCCGGTCACTACGATGTCGTGTTGTGGTTCGGCTACTATATGAAAATAATGTAATTATGTACTTAATATATAATTTATTAAGTAACATGGTAAGAGCCATGTTAGTAGATTTTAGTTGGTTGTAGGATATAATTTGATTATTACTTTGAGAAGAGGTTGTTTAAAAAGGTTACTATAGAATTTTTATAACTTTGATTTCTTTTTCATAGTGGTTTTTAAGATTGGTTTAGTTCATAGTGACTTCTAAATAATTAGAATCACCTTTGCTAGACATTGGTGACCTTTGAAAACTTCTTTTGGATTTTTTATTTGGTGTCAAAAAGACTCATTGTAAAAATCTTATAAGAAAAGGGATGAAGAAGGGGGTTTTGGTAGCAAAAGGATTAATTAGGGCACCAATATGGATGAATGGAGATGAAAAATAAAAATCTCTATTCCTATTGGTCAAAAATCATGACCAATGGGCTTTGAGGAGGCTGCCCGAGGCCATATTAGGGATTAGGGTTAGTTTCTCGAGGCCATTCGAGTTTTTGAGGCTAGGGTCAGAAGGTTTAGGTTTTTGGATATGGTTTTGGTGCAAAATTTGTATCATTTGGAGTTTATATGAAGAAGTTATAGGCGCTCAAAGTTAAGGTGTAAGTTTTCGACGTACTGTCACTCTTTTGAGCATACCGCACGCGTACGGACAGCAAACGAGGATCGGCGACCGGATTTGAAGAGAACACTTTTTCGGCTACAGTTTGTGCATACTGTTTATCGAATTCCAAGCTTTTATGAAGGAGATATTGGCAGTTGAAGTCAGCACTTGATATCTAAGGGTAGTAAGTAGCCCGAATTACTTGTGATTGTGATTTGAGCTATATCTTAGACAATTTGATGAGGTTTTAGCTCAAAATTTTCAAGATTGAGTGTAATCTTGTTATAAAGCTTTCTATACAAGTTTTGTGTGATTTGGAGCTTGGGTTTAAGAGATATAAGGAAAATAGTTTTCGGGTGCTTGTAAGTTAGGATTTTGTGCACCTGCTAGGGTTTCTTAGATGCCGAACGATCGGTGATAGATGTACGGTTCAATTTTTTTATGGTAAAAGTAAAGTGTAGTATCTAGCTTATGTAGAAATTTGAAACAAAGTGAACGGTTGGATTAGCTTTTATGAATTTTCAAAGTCTGATTTAAAAGGGTCCTTGGCGGGAAGAAATATATTTTGAAGAATTTTAAGATATTTTGAATTTTTATACAAAGCAAGGAGTTTGTTTTTGGGAGCTAAGGCATTATATAAAAAAAGAAACCTAAAATCTCTACAGCTAGATACCCGGTGTATTCCCAGATAGAAAATCACGCCACACGACAACGACAAGGGATGCACTCTACATCAGTCTATGCATCGGACTTCAGACAATTAGCATGCGACATCAATTGGGACGAAGAAGCGTTGATGAGTCAATTCTATTGGGGTTTAAGGGATGATGTGAACGATTTGCTGTTAACTCTTCTTGATCCACAAACACTCAACAAAGCTATTAGCCAAGTTGTGAAGTGTGATAATCGCCTATTCCAACGTTGCCAAGATCAACGTTCAAGACAACATATGGTTTGTCACACCCCAACTATGTCAGCAAGCAGCGTGAATTCACATTCAGAGGTAGAAGACATGTAAATTGATGCGATACGTGTCAAATCCCTTACCCTAGAAGAAAAAAAGTGGCGTATGGAGGAAGGTCTATGCTTGTATTGCGGTGAAGAAGGCCATAAAGTTGGAAACTGCCCTAAGAAGCAAAATCGACATATTCTCAAGACTAGGGGCACGTTTGTTCAGGAAAATGAGGATGCCCAGCCACAATAGGAACCGTGCGGTTGGACAGTGAGATATCGCAACAACAACAAGGTTCCTTTCTTTTCGCTCAACCTGTCCTTTGCTTTATAATCCCTTTGCTTATTGGCTCTTAGAAACTGAGAACCTTAGCATTATTAGATTCAAGAACATCGGCTTGTTTCTTAGATGAAGAATTTGTGAAGTGTCATAAGGTCCCTTTAGTACAAAAATCCAAACCTGTTTACGTTGAGGTCATAGATGGTCGACCTTTATTGTCTGGTAGTGTTACCCATGAATCAGAACCTATAGAAGTGACGTTTAAGGGCCATAGTAGTCATATTATTTTCAATATTATTACAACCCCATCAAATCCTGTTATTCTTGGTCTTTCTTGGTTGGAAAAGCATAACCCATTCATAGATTGAAAGTTACGGAAGATGACTTTTTCCACAAAACCATCCAAGAGCAAGCCTAGTAGAAAACCCCGAATAGAGAAATCCTTATTCATTGGAGCAAGAGCATTTATAAGATCGTCTAAGGAAGGCACATCATTTGTCATTTATGAGGCTTCAATTATCGGAGAGAAGATCTCGACAACAAGTATACTTGAGCAATATAAGGATATTAAAGACGTGTTTCAAAAGAAGAATGCCGACATGCTACCGGAATACCGACCAAATGATTGCACCATAGACTTGCAGGAAAGAGTACAACCGCCTTTTGGTCCAATCTACAATCTATCGCAGATGGAGTTGGCGGAGTTGCGGAAGTATATCGACGAGAATCTAGCCAAGAACTTCATCCGTTATTTAAAATCGTCAGCTGGAGCACCCATCTTATTTGTGAAGAAGAAAGATGGCTCGTTGTGGATGTGCGAGGACTATCGAGGCCTCAATAAGGTAACAAAGAAGAATCGTTATCCATTACCCTTGATTTCTGGTCTCTTAGAACAACTTGGACGTGCAAGGATCTTTACAAAAATTGATCTAAGGGGAGCTTACAACCTCATACGAATCAAGGAAGGAGATGAGTTGAAGACAGCGTTTCGTACAAGGTATGGCCATTTTGAGTATAATATCATGTCCTTTGGTCTTACCAATGCTCCAGCGGTCTTTCAACATATGATGAATGA